CATGACGCCAAACCCTCCGTTGGGGCGATGAATGGTCGCCCATCCACAGGTGCCGGGTCGATGCCCGCCGCAGGGGTCTCTTAAGGGGCGCAAAGACGAAGTGTCGCAAGCTCTCTTGGGGCTCCGAAGTCCCGGGAGAGCCCGGGCGGAACGGCCCTTTCCCCGTGGCCGCCCAGAATCCCAAGCCTCGTTGTCGGAGGCCGGAGGGCCGACGGCCCGCCAACCTGGCTCGCCCACATAAACCCATGCCCCCCAGCGGTGACCCCCAAGCCAAGAGCACCCACTGAGATTCTAGTTAGCACTTCAAAACCCGCGGCGCGGCGAGGCGATGGTGACCTCGGTAGGCAGGCAACGCAGGAGGCTGCATTTGGGGCCGAAGCAAAGGTGGCCCGCAATCCTCAACGCCCCTGAACAACCGCGCGCGAAGCCGGCGCAAACCATCCGGCGGCCCCGTGCGGGGGGGGCCAGGGCGACCGCGCAGAAAGCTCACCTACCTATAGAAACTATCAACCCCACATCCCTCAGGGCCCGCGTCGATCGTTTCATAGTTTTCCGATTCCGAACTGCCGCGGCGACGGGATGAGAGGGGAACGTCGCTGGCCCTCCTCCGGCTTGCGTCAATGTGCTCGCAGCAGTATCCCCTGGGCTTCTAGGGAAACCCAGAGCCCACCAAGGAAGCTGGTCTCCGCCAAGGTCCGCTGCGCTGCATCTGCCGCCGCCGCTCCCGCTCGGCCGCCAGCGCCGACTCGGAACCAATCGTCCGAAATGTCTGCAGGCCCTCTGGAGCACGCCCGCGACTGTGTATTGCGCCTTGCCAAACGCTGGCTGCAGGAGGAGGAGGACGACGACGACGACGACGGACGAACGAGGAGGAGAGGAGATGAAGGGGGAGGAGGAAGAGGAGAGAGCTTGTTCATGCGCGTCTTCGCCACGGTCGGCGCAACCGACCCGCCATGCGCCACCCACCCACCCACCCCCTGCAAAGCCGCCACTGGACGCCCCCGACATCGGCCCAGGAAAGCGACGCGGACGGGGACGGCCCTCGCGAGCCGACTGAACAGGACCCGCCACCGACGAACCGTCCTTATCATCGCGCAGAACCGAGGCGAACCCGAACCAACCAGACCCAGAGAAGCCGACTGGGGAAACAAAAATTGCCGATATCGCTACTCTCCGTACCTCTCCCGGGGGCGCTCTGACCGTCGAGGCGAATCCAGCGGCAACGAGGGCGTCCCAGGGTGCCCACAAGCCCGACCTGCTAAGCAGCACCGCACGCCACGCAAAGCACCGATGGAAACATATCTCCGTCGCGGGGCCCGCGAGGAGCGCTCCTGGGCCCCACACTCGCGCACTCCGCAGCGCCTGGCCGCCCAGGGCGCGCATCACCTGGGGGAGACCCAGAAAGGCGTTCCTGCGGGAGGACATGATGATACAAATGTGGCCCTGATTCGTACCATGGCGCAGTGCTGTTGCCAAACTCGGAGGGACGGACGACGTACGTCTTGCTGCGAACGTCCGAAACTTGGGGCGGAAATTCGGGCGGGTTCGGAGAGACGAGGAAGACGCATCCCAGGTCAGCGCCAAACGACTCCCGACGACGTAGGCCTACCGACATGCAAACAAAGGACATGACAAAGCACAAACCCGAATGAATGACAGGCGCTTGATACTCCGAGAACATCTGGTGCAGGCCACACAAGGATTCTCCGAGGAGGGCCTCCCAGGAGGCCGAAATGTCGAAAACGAGCAGGGATAGCGGACCTTTTCTCGGCTGAGCCCGACGTGAGCGCCTTCTCAGAAGGCTCGGCAGTCCACCGGTCTGAGGTTGTCCCCGGAGACTCACAAAATCTCAGAAGCGAAAGAAGCCGCCGACTAACTTCCCCCCTCGCTCGCCGCCGAACAGTGGGCGGGAGCAGCGGTCGCTGTCTTTCTCGGCGGCGACGATAAAGGCGACCCCCAGGGGCAGGCATTACACGTATTCGCCAAGGAGCATCGCCGAAGACATGGATCATCGGCGCCCCTTGGGCTGTTCGCCCATCGTCGCCCCCGAACTCGGATTGCCTCTGCGCCCGGCGCGCCCAGCGCTGCCAGCGCCCACGCCATCGCCGCGTCGCGCGCGGGCAGCAGCGAGCGCGACCCGCCGCCTCGGCGGACCGCGCGCAGCCCGGCGTGTCGATAGAGCCGGGCGCAGGCCCACGCGATTCGGTGGCTCGAAGATGGGGTCCAGAGATTTCTGAGGAGCAAGCGACGACGATTCCACAGGACGGGGCTGACGAGAGGAGCAAAACCGCGCGCAGCTCGAATGCTGAAACACAGGACCCGCACCACCCGAACCGAAGCCGGAACGCGGTTGGATCAGAATCGCGCGAAAAGCACCAGAACTGTCTCCGAGGCGAACCCCCGGTCCCGAAGTCCAGAACCGAGACCCAGAGTGAAGCCGACTCCAGAGTGGGGAAAGCCGTAATTCCTGAACCATTCGGAGCCGATATCGCTACTGACTCTGCAATGTACCTCTCCCTGGGGTGCGCTCTTGACCAATATTTCGAGGCGAATCCAGCGATGGCAACGACAGGGCGTCCACCAGGGTGCCTTTACACGAAGCCCTGACTCTGCTAAGTATTCAGCACGCGCACAGTCGGTCGCCGCCACGGCAATGAGCACCGATGCAGAAACTGCATATCGGCGGCTGCCGTCGTCGCGGGGCCCGCGAGGAGGAGGCCACGCATGGGGGAGCCGGGCGCAGAGGGGGGGGAAGGCGCCTCACAGGATCTGATGGGCGCCCGATTAGCACCATGCGGGTCCTCGGTTGCGCCCTGCGAGATGCACCACGACTCGTCCACTAACGCCACCGCTGCGCCCTGCCGCTCGTGGGGCGGCGGGCGCGGCCCCGAAGAACCCTATGGGAAGAGGAGCCTATGACCCTTGAGCCCAGGTCAGCGCCCTACGAGCCCAATGGACCAACCGCCCCGCGACTCCTATAGCCGACCGGCATGCTGAGCCGAGGCTCTACGGGTTGACAAAAGCTTGTCACCCGTGAGCACGGGGCTTCAGCCAGGGAGCCCGAGACCCTGTGCAGCCCCGCAAACCTTTCTTTGAGCCCAGCCCCGCGAAGAGGCCCCCTGAGGCCGAAAGTCCCAACGAGGCGGCGCGGCAAGCCGCGGCGCGAGCACGCAGGGGGGGAGAAGGCATGGATATCTGGAATCGAAGCCCTTATAAAATTGAATCTCGAAAAGTGCCCGAGGAACAAAGAGGTCCAAGGCGCGAGGGACTTAGAACGACTGCTGCAGCCCCCCCTGCAAGTCTGATGCTCGCCACCCAGGGCGAGGCCGGCGGGAGCCCGTACCACTTGTCGGCCGCGACGATGGCAACCGGGCAGGTTACACGTATTCGCCAAACGAGCACGCAGACATGATCATGCGCCCCGCTGGACCCCGCCGCCTCCGATCCTCGGAAGGTTGCGACGCACGGGACCATCAAGAACTCAGCAACACGCCGTTCGCCTGTCCCTCGCGGCAGCAAGCGCGAACGGCTGGCGGATCGCGCATCAAGCAAGGCGTGGGCACGCAGACCCCATCCCACCAGCGGGCCGACGATGGGTCATTTAAGACGGTCCGATCTTCGGTTACATCGTGAATCAATAGCTGCCCAGACTGTTGCATGATCGACATTGCAATCCCCTCCACTGACTCGCCGTTTCTCCGTGCAGCCAGGTACTCGGACGTCAAAGGCAAGCGGGTGTTCTGACTTGTCATCTGCCCGCGCTGGACCGTCTCATCCCACATCCAAGTCAAAACTGCCAAGGAAGAGCGGTGTCGATCCCTGTCTGCGTCAACCCATTGAGATATAGCTGCATGTTGTCGGTCGTACCACAAGTTCGCGCCGTTGATGCGGGCGGCCCTGACGAAATCGGGCGTGATGAGGCCAGCAATCGCATGGCTGTCCTCAGCATCCAGTAACCGGGGCAAAATTGATGCAATAACAACGGACGTATGTGCCGCTGCGATCCTGCCAGGCAAAGAAACGCAAGCAAGTTGGCATCGGGCTTCTAATAGTTGAGCAGCGGTAGGCTTGCGCACGGCAAGCTTCTGCGGCGCAGCGGTGGCTGCGATGCCTGCGTGGCCTCCAAACAGTTGTCCAGCCTCGCTTTGGAGTTGGTTGAATGCATTGGAAGAGCTGGCCAATGATTTCCGCAAAATGGACGAAGAGTTCTGGGCAGCGGTAATGCGACAAAGAAGTTCGGCTCGAACTTCGGCATGTACCCCTTTGATTTTTCTCGCAAGTCGAGCACGATCGGGCTTTGGTGTAGTGCCGTCGGTTTCTCCTCCATGACCCGTCGCATCATGTGCTCTATCACCGCCATGGCGGCCGCAACCTGAATCAACGCAATCGCCATCCACAGCATCCAATATGTCACGGTCAACTGAAGCGACTACTTCGGATTTGGGTTGCCGTGGTAAGCGGCTTCTGATGACAGAGAGAGGATCACTAGGCTGTCCGACGTCGACGTCCGCAACCCCAACGTCATCCAAAATGTCGGACAACCCTTCGTGGCTGGCGATGGCGCGCAACGGGTCGACGCCAAGACTCCTGGGAAGGCGCTCGGCTACGTCGTCCAGAGGGTCGGCGCCAGCACTGTCCTTCAGGCTGTCGGACATAGCTTCTCAACACACATGCTCCCGCCGGGCGGCAGCGAGGGCGGGGGGGGGTGGGGGGGGTCCTTAGGCGGAGTAGCGCTTCTCAGAAGCCCTCCAACTTCAAAGCATGCTGCTGTTTAGGAAGCCATCCCCAATCCACCCCCAAACCCGTCGGCGCGCCACCCAGTTCACATGCGCGCGCGCACGTGCAAAAAAGGGGGCGCGGGACACTGAGCGCACGGCTCGACACATGTTAATGCAACAACGCATTGTTTTTGGAAACCTGGAAACCTACCAGCATGCGGAAACTAGAGTGCACGTCAGGCACCCAAGGAGAAGAAAAGAGCACGATTGGGCAGCCCTGTCCTCGAATCCATCGGAGCCCACTCCGTCCAACGCCGCAAGGGGGTCTACCACTACGCCGGCTGGCATTCCTGAGCCACACGGCAGCGCCGTTCCGCGCGATGTGATCGGGTGTTGTCCGCTACGCTGTGGCTTTGGAGAAGACAACTGTCGAACCCAAGGTCTCGCGACCGATAGAAGGCCAGTCGTGAGCCACGAATTCTTCTTCCTCTGGCCCCTCGGGAAATGATCTGCGCTGGCTGACTCAACGCAAAAACGAACAATTTCGGCCCGCAGGGGATTGTAGCAATTTCGGTCTGCAGGGGATTGTGGTAATTTCGGTCCGCAGGGGATTGTACACACGTACTCTGAAGAACATATTATCCCACCACGTGGGAATTGACACGCTCTACGTATATGCGCTGACCAATCTGGGATTATGCATTGCAAGCGAAGCAACCGCATTTACGGCCCTCTTGGGGACGAAAAAGGGGAACAACAGCATCACTTTACATTTGCATTGCCCCTAAGTGGTGGATGTGCGACATATCATCCGCTGGCTTCGCTTTTCCGTAATCAGGAATCATCCCCAAACGGTGCTTGCAGCAAGAGTTCAGGGGTCCACGAAGGCACTCACGCGGACAAGTCGTGCCCTCCCCTCTCTCCCAGCACTCGCTTCCTCGGTCCGCGTGAGAATAAAACTGCGCTTCGCATGCTACGAACCTTTTTTTTTGCGTTGTTGTTGCTGTTGTTTCTTTGTTTGATGGCCACTGTAAGAGCAGCACAGCGTACCTAAGACTTCTCCGCAGCCTCGTCGGACAGGGTGCCCAGTCCTGTTCGGCTGCTCGAGGGCGCGCTGGCCAAGGAGGAAGGGAGGAGGGCGGCACCGAGCGACATTCAATGGTTTGTGGGGATCTCCAGTAGGGGGCACCAGAAAACCTCCGCACAGAAACCCAACCCTGAGAAATTCCAGGAGGCCATGGATGGGCTGCATGGTATCACTTTCGAGCGCAAGCCAGCTGTCACATGAAAAGTACAAACCTTGTTGGCAAAATGATCACGACTACGTCGCAAGTGAAAATGTGTGGGGCCACTCTTTACGACAGCGGGGACATCAAACCAGAGCTATGCTGGAGATTGGGCGCAGCATGGGGGGATATTCAAAACGATACTATGCGCACGCATGGAACACGCACACACACAAACACACACGGGACACAACGACACCATTGCGGTGTCAAAACAGAGCTGGGATCGTTCGCTGATTTGTGCAAGAGGCCTCACGACAGCCCAGGATCCCCCAAATGCTATCATGTCCGCGCACGAGTCTACGAGCCCTCTACGCATATCCAGCGTGCGCCAATCCCGCCGCGCGCCATGCGCGCGCGCGAAGGCATCAGCGCGCGGGGGAAATACCAGCGCAGGCGCGATCCTTCCGGGCGCGCGGAACGCACGGCGACACATCACCCGACTACACATGAACGTTTGGCGCTCCGCGCGGACTTCTTGGATTCGCGTTGGACCCCCCCTGGCGCGCGGAGCGCCAAAAGTTTATGTTCATGCGCTCGTTTCTTCTCCGAGCAAGCCTCCGCGATGGCCCACGCCACCTTGCCCTTCAGGACCGGGTCGGTGAGCCGAGCGAAGAGGCCTGTGCGCCCCGCCCGCGGCCCCTTCCTCGCCCCTCGCAGGCGAGGCGGCCCCACGGCGGCCCGGGCCCCGGCTCTAGAAACTGAGGGCATGTGGGGGGTGATACGGGCATCTGTCCGCGGTGCGTAGCGTCACGGGGGGGGAGGACAACTCTGGGGGGATCAACTATGAAGGTCGGGGGGGCGGGGGGGATGTGTGCCCCCACCTCCCCCTTGCCGCGTGTGTCAGCGTGCTGCGGCATGCCGGGGCGCACGGGGGGCGTGGGAGTGTTGTTCGCGCTGGGAAACCGTGTCTGATACCGCTGCTTCCCGGACGTGTCTCGTGTGTCGTGTGACTGGTTTGAGGCGAGCCCAGCGGTGGCGCCCGTGCGCAACGCGCTGTGGTCTCGCGTGGCTGCGCGGGGCTCGCGTGCGCGTGGAAGCCCCGCAAGCCCCACATGCCCCGCCTCCTCCTCCTCCTCCTCCTCCTCCTCCTCCTGCTCCTCCTCCTCCTCCTCGTGTGTATGTGTGTATGTGCGCCCGTGCGTCTGCGTTTGTGTGTCTGTGTGGCTGCGTGTCTGTGTATGTGTGTCCGCGTGGTTGCGTGCCTGTGTCTGTTGGCCTGCAGGTATGTGTGCCCGAGTGTTTGCGTGCCCGTGTTTCTGCGACGGTGTGTATGCCTGCCTGTGTGTCTGCGTGCCTGTGCGTCGGTGTGTCTGTGTGTCTGCGTTTGTGCGCTCCGCGCGCCTGTGCGTCTTTGTGTATATGTGTCTGAATGTATGCGCGTCTGCGCGCCTGTGTGTCTGTGCGTCTCTGTGTCGGCCTGTCTGCGCGCCCGTGCGTCTGTGTGTCTGCGCGTCTGCGCGTCTGCCCGTTTGCGCGCCCGCGCGCACGTGCGAGGTGGGCGCGCGCATGCGTGCCAGTGTACTTGTTCGCCTGTGCGCATGTGCGCATGTGTGTCTGCCTGCCCGTGCGCCCGCGCGTCTGCGCGCCTGGGCGTCTGCGCGCCCGCGTCCGCGCGCGCCCGCGTTTGCGTCTGCGCGCGCGTGCGCGCGCGCAAGCGCGCGCGCAAGCGCGCGCGCGTGTAGCGTGCGGCGTTCAGTCTGTAGTGCGTAGCGTGTAGTGCGTAGTGCGTAGTGCGTCGAGCGCAGTGCATAGTGCGTAGCGCGCGCCGCGTATCTAGTATCGCGCGGCGACCAGCACGTAGCGAGCATAGAGCAATGCGTAGCGTGAAATGCGTTAACCGTCGCGTGACGCGTGTCGTGCGTAGTGCGATGTGCACGGTGGCGCTTAGTGCGTTACGTGTAAAGTGCAGTGAGTGAGGTAGCGCGTAGTGTGTAGTGCGCCGTGCGTTGCGCGCAGTGCGCGCGGCGCGCAGTGCACAGCGTGCAATGCGCAGGGCACGGCGTGTAATGTGTTGTGTGTAGCGTGTAGTGTGTAGGGTGTCGTGTGTAGTGTGTAGTGCGTAGTGTGTAGCGCGTAGTCTGTTGTGTGTATTGCGTGCTGTGTCATGTGCACGAGTATGCACGTAGCGCGTGGCGCGTAGCGCGCAGTGCATAGTGTGTAGTGCACTGCGTGCAGCGCGTAAGCGTAGTGTGTAGTGTGTAGCGACTAGCGTGTAGGTGTGTAGTGTGTCGTGCGTAGTGCGCACTGCGTAGTGAGCAGTACGTAATGCGCAAGGTGTAGTGCCCAGTGTGTAGTGCGTAGTGCGTAGCGTGTAGTGCGTTGTGTGTAGTGTGTAGCGTGTAGCGTGTAGTGTGTTGTGTGTTGTGTGTAGTATGTGGCGCGCTGTGCGTAGTGTGTAGTGCGTGGCGCGTCATGTGCACAGCGTGCAGTGTGCAATGTGTGTTGCGTAATGGGTCGTGCGTCGTGTGTCGCGTGCGCTGTGTAATGTGGAGTGTGAAGCGTGTAGTTTGTAATGTGTTGTGTGTAGTGCGTGGCGTGCCGTTTCTAGTGAATAATGTGTAGTGTTTAGTGTGTACTGTGTAGTGTGTAGTGCGTAGTGTGTAGTGTGTGTAGCTCGTAGCGTGTAGTGTGTATTGTGTAGTGCGTAGTCCGTGGTGTGTAGTGTGTAGCGCGTAGTGCACTGTGCCTTGCGTAGTGCGTAATGTGTAGCGTGTAATCTGTTGTGTCGTGCGTAGTGTGTAGTGTGTAGTGTGTAGGCTGGAGTGCGCAGTGCGTAGTGTGTAGCGAATAGTGCGTACCGTGTGGGGCGTAGTATGTAGTGTAAAGCGTGTAGTGTGTGGTGTGTCGATTTTAATGTGTACTGTGCAGCGTGTAGCGTGTAAGATGTAGTGCGTGGTGCGTAGTGTGTAGTGCGCAGCGTGTAGTGCGTAGCGTGTAGTATACAGCGCGCAGGGCGCAGTGCGCAGCGCATAGCGCGGAGAGTCTAGCGTGCACAGCGTAGGGCGTAATGTGCAGTGCGTAGAGCGTAGTGCTTTGTGTGTTGTGCATAGTGCCTGCCGCGTAAAATGTAGCGTGTAGTGTGTTGTGCGTTTTGCCCGGTGCGTTGTGTAGTGCGTGTAAAGTATGTACTGTGGTGCAGGTTGTAGGATGTGCGTTGTGCGTCGCGCGGCGTGCGTGGTGCGTTGCGCATTGTGCGTTGTGCGTTGCGTGTTGTGCGTTGCGTGTTGTGTGTTTGCGCAGCGTGTAATGTGTTGCACATATTGTTGCGCGTTGTATGTTGTGCGTTGTGTGTTGTGTGTTGCGTGTTGTGTGATACGTGGTGTTGCGTGCGTCGTGAGTTGTGCGATGTGCGTTGCGCTGTGCGCTGTGCGTCGTGCGTTGCGTTATGTTGTGGTGCACGTTGCGCGTCGAGTGCTGTGCGTTGCGCGCTGCGCGTTGCGCATTGCGCGTTGTATGATATGCGTTGTGTGTTGTGTGTCGTGCGTTGTGCGGTGTGCGTTGCGCGTTGCGCGGTGTGCGTCGCGTGGCAAGCGTTGGGTTTTGCGCTGTGCGTTGCGCGTTGTGCGATGTGCGTCGTGTGTCGCGCGTTGCGCGCTGCGCGCTGCGCGTTGCGCGCTGTGTCTTGTGCGTCGCGCGTTCTGCGTCGCGCGGCGGGCGCGCGCGCGCCAGCTCACGCGCGCGCGCGGGCGCGCTTGCGCGCGCGCGTGCATGTGCGCATGTGCATGTGTGATTGCGCGTTGGCGTGCGTCGGTGTGTCTGTGTGCGTGCGTCTACGTGCCTCTGCGCGGGCGTCTGCGAGCGTCTGCAGGCGCGGCGCGCGCCTGCGCGCGCACGTGCGCGGGCGGGCGGGCGGGCCGGCGAGCGGGCGCGCGGGCGCGCGCGCGTTTGGCGCATTCAAATGACTGGGGCCCCGCTCCGCACAGCCTCGGCGCGCATGGCCCGCGCGCGGCGCCCGCCTGCCGAGCCGCCTCAGGGGCGCGCCCCGCCCCCGCCAGACCGCGCCG